TTTTCGAGCATATCATACATCGTACATTTGTCTTACATTGCTTGGTCCTGTGTCCAATTTTGAGGCAGAAGAAGCAACCCTTCTTCTTCTTAATTTCATTATTCTTTAGACTCAGAGGCATCTTCTGAGCAACAAAGCAATCTCGATTTTCATGAAATTTTTCACAAAATATGCAAGAATTCTTCTCACTATAATTGGTTGCTTTATTATGACCTGAGAATAAATCATTTGCTGTAGGCACGAAATGTTCACTCTGGTACCTTTTATCTCTTCTACTTTCTCTCTTGGCACCCGAATCAATTAATTTAAATCCAGCTTTTGCCAAAAAAAAATTCTCTGCTCTCCTTCCACTTCATTCTTTAAAAACAATAATAATTGTTTCAATTTATCAGAGTGAGAATTTTCTGCTGTAATTATGCATAATTTCTAAGCCAAACTCGTAAAATTTCCTCGGGAATGCAAGATTCCACGAGCGGAAACAGCATTGCAGCGTATTTATCGCTTGTCATTCCTATTGACTCCAACGAACGTAAATACGACTCTAACTTGTCATACAATTCTGATATACTGCATTTTCCCTTTTGATCAGTGACATTTTTAATAATCAAACCTAATAATTCCCGAATATAGAATTCTACCAACAATTCTTCCCTGCCGAATCTATTTTTTAAGCTTTCTATAACTTTTTCATAATTTTCGGCAGTTGCAGGGAAGCTGTTTACAATATCCCGTGGTCTCGTACCGGGTACGGTCGCTTGAACGAGATAATGCATCTTATCCTCGTTTTGAATTTCTTTATCTTCATGTATTCGCCGAAATTGCCCCCAAAACGGTAACCAATCTTAAATTTCGACACCGAATTGTTTTAACTTAATTTTAGGTAATTTCAGTTTCCGTTTGTTCGAATTCGGCGGAACACTGCTTATGGTTAGTGTCGTTTAGCGATCGAAGAATAATTTCGTTTCTACTCGTATTAAATCTAATTTTTCTTTGTATTCTTCAATTTTCGCCCATTCTTTTTCAAACTTATCATTTGAAGAAAATTCCAAATTTAATATTTGAGTATCAAATGCATTAAGTTCAACAGATAAACGTTCTAAAGTAACAAGTTTCGTTTTTACAGATTTTGCATCAGGAATTTCCTTTTCTAATTCTTGCAAAATTGCATTAATTGTTCTCGTAAAAGACGCTCTGATAGGTTTCCGTTTCTCAATTAACGATTCCATTTCAATTCAATAAAAATAAATTCAATAAAGTCAAATAGAATTAAATTCGATAAAACTAACAAAATTACCTTGACTTGTTTTACCGATCACTTCCGGGTCACCAAAATTGTTCGAGATTTGCAAGAACTAACCGTTCTCCTTTCTCCTAATAAACTTAAAATAAAATAACTTTACATATAAAATTCTACAGCGTCATATTTATTTTCAAAATCCATAGAACTACAAGAAACTACAACAAAAATCAGATGGTTGCCATTCTTACAGTGACAAACTATGAAAAGAAAAATAACAACTGAGGCTGGGTTTTAACAATCGTCAATTCTAATGATTCATTTAAAATATGTGTAGCTTGTAAAACCTAAACTAATCATCCATTATATTACTGTGATAAATTTAAAGAAATGAAATTAACAGATAGATTAGATTTGGTTAAAACTAGTAAACTCTGTAATAACTGCTTAAGTAAGCGCCATTCTGTTTATGATTGTACTCGTAAGTCAAAAGAGAGTTTGTATTGTTTGTAAAAAATCGAATCACCATTCACTGCTTCAAAATTATTCTCCCTCGTCAATAAATAAAAGTACCTCGATGTATTCAATTCAAGGTAGTGGAAACATTCCGTTTTCTAACGCTATAAATAACTCGAAGATAGTTCCTGCTCATAATGATGACTCATCACATTTCATGTCATTACATGTCACCAATCAATCAAAATTAAAATGTTACATGCGCCTCATTAATCACGGATGTGGATAAGTGTTGTCTACCATCAAGCAGACTTCTATGCACTGCGATGTTATTTATTGAGAATTCATTTGGCGAAAAAATAAAAGTAAAAGAAATTTTAGATACCGGATGTTCTGTTTCTATATGCACACAAGAAGTGGCTCATATTTTGGGATTAAAGAAAGAAAAATTTAATTCCTCTGTTTCAGGAATTAACGAAGGAGAATATTTTATTAAGAATAAAGTAATAGCAATAATTTCTAACGATGAAGGTAACTTGTCAAAAACATTATCATTTCTTGTGCTACCTTAAATCACAGAATTAACACCTGCGAAGAAAATCAACATTTCTAATATTTGTATACCTCGCGAATTAAAAATTAGCTGACCCGACATTTTACATTCCAAGTAAAATAATCAATTTACTTATAGGTTGTGAGGTATTTTTTGAATTACTCAAGGAAGAAAAATTCAAATCATATGACAATAATTTTTCAGAACAGTGTATTTGGGTATTTGGTCACGGGGACTGTAAAAAATACAATTTCTTACAATTTTACTGGCTTTACTTGTATTTCTGAAGAGGATTCTTTAGAACGTTCTATTAAAAAATTCTTTGAAGTTGAATCCTTTCCAGGAGATAATACAAATGACGATTTTCAAACATTTGAAAGAGAATATTGTGAGCAACATTTTATGGCCATTTACAAGCAAAATGACACTGGAAGTTTTAATGTTAGATTACTCATTAAGGAAGGCAAACGTTCTAGTTAAGGAGAATCTAAATCAATGGCGGAAAGACGTCTAAATTTACTCTGGAACAAATTGGACAAAAATCAAACTATGTCCACTTTATATACAGCATTCATGGATGAATATCTTGCGTAAATCACATGGAAACGGTTACTTCAAACTGCGAGAACTGTAGTGAAAATTATTGCATCTCACATCACGCAGTGTTCCGGCCAGAAAGCATTTCTACCCCTCTTCGCGTCGTGTTTGAGGTATCAGCTAAGTGCGCAAATGGAGTAAGTCTCAAATCCTTAGAGAACAATTACATATGGTACAACATGTGCCCCGTATTTGGCCACTAGAACTTTAAAAGCTTTAGCTGAGCAAGGGTGTTTTCTCCATGCTTCCGCAGTTTTACTTACCGACGTCTACGTGGATGATATTTTATCAGGTTCAGAAAATTTAGAAGACACAATTCTTTGCAATTTGAATTAATAAATCTATTGAACAATGGTGGCATGCAATTACATAAATGGGTTTCAAACCATCCAGACTTGTTTAACGACAAAAAGGCTACTGAATATAACTTTTTTTCAGAATGCCATCTTGTGAAAACTCTCGGCATGCTTTGGGCATGTAATTCCGATAATTTAACCTTTAAGGTTAATACAGATTCAAAGGCAAGTTTCACAAAAATGGATATTCTATCTACCATAGCAAGTCTGTTTGATCCTTTCGGACTAATTGGTCCAGTGATTACAAGGGCAAAGATTTTTTTACAAAATCTGTGGAGACAAAAATTTAAATGGTCTGATCCAATTCCTCCCAATGATATGAAGGAATGGTTAAATTTCTTAACCCAATTTCCTGCTTTAAATCAAGTAAAGGTTCCTAGGCATGTGATTATTACAAATCCCATAATGATTGAATTACATGGATTCAGCGATGCGTCGGAACGTGCCTATGGTGCAGCAATCTACATAAGCTCAAAAAATAGCCAAGGACAGTGGAAAACAACATTGTTATGTTCCAAATCTAGAGTATCTCCGATGAAAATTTTAACAATACCCAGGCTGGAATTATGTGCGGCGTTGCGACTAGCTCGAGTAACTTCAAAGGTCATATTCATTATTCGTTGAGTTTCATCATGTGTACCTGTGGTCGGACTCTATGATAACGTTGGCATGGATAAAAACTCCTCATGAAAGACTTAAACCCTTTGTGTCCAATCGAGTTAAACTAATCAGCGAGCTATGGCCTGACTATGATTCGAGACATGTTTCTTCTGAAAGCAATCCTGCTGACTTCATATCTAGAGGAACCAGTGCGACCAATCTTCTGCAGAACTCTTATGTGATGGACTGGCCCTTCATTTTTAAACTCGAACATTCCATCTTCAAAAGAACCTATTAACATGACTGATAATGATTATTCTAATGAACTAAAGACTAATTATAATCCTGTTTTAGTTTCTAACACTACTAATAACATCATCAATGATTTTTTAAATATTAGTAACAGTTTTACTAAACTTGTACATGTTTTTAGTTATATTTGCAGATTTGTAAATAATATCAAATGTCCTAAGAATCAGCAAGTAGGTAAGTTAACAACAGAAAAACTAATAAGGTCATCTAATCATTTAGTTAAATTAGTTCAACATGCAACTTTTAACCATGAAATTAATTGTTTAAAACATAACAAGGACTTGAAGCTGAATCAGGTAAGAAATTTATGGCCTTTTTTAGATCAAAATGAACTTCTTAAGAGTTGGAGGTCGATTACAAAATTCTCAAATGAGTAGGGATTCAAAACACCCAAAGCTATTAACGGCTAGGCATAGATTCACTGAAATTATTATGGAATATTTTCATAAGAAAAATTTGCATGTGGGTCCACAGTCACTTTTGCATTTTGTCAGACAGCCCATCGGAGGCAGAAATCTGGCTAGAAAGATTGTAAATGCTTGTGTGATTTGTTTCAAAAATAAACCAATCAATTCAAATCAGCTAATGGGAAATTTACCAATGGAGCGAGTCAATCCAATCCCAACCTTTTTTAACTGTGGGATTGACTTCTGCGGTTCTTTTCTTATAAGTTATAAGGGTCAACGTAAAGGAACCTCTCAAAGGGTATATGCAGCAATATTCATATGTTTTGCCACCAAGGCAATCCATTTAGAACTTATCACTGATTTAACATCAAAGGCTCTTATAGCAACATTAAAACGTTTCTTCTCAAGAAGAGGAAAATGTTCATGTATATTCTCTGACAATGCTAAGAATTTCATTGGGGCAAATTCAGATCTAAAGACTTATGAATAATCCAGAGGGAGATTTAGCGAACTATTTAACATCCGAAGGTTTTAAATGGAAATCTATCCCTCCCAGATCTCCAAACTTTGGTGGGTTATGGAAATCAGGAGTTAAATCCTTCAAATACCACTTACGAGTAACTGTTTCATCTAAATTAACATTTGAAGAACTATTGACAGTTGTTACACAAATAGAAGGGATCTTAAATAGCAGACCAATCAGTCCAATGTCAGCAGAGCCCAGTGATTTAACTGCATTGACCCCAGGTCATTTTCTAATTGGTCGTCCATTAAATTTTATTGCAGAACGAACAATAATTGATAAACCAGACAATTATTTAACAAGGTGGCAAAGAACAACAAAATTTGTTCAATGTATTTGGAAACGATGGTCACTTGATTACCTCAAACATTTAAACTTGCGAAACAAATGGATGTTTCTAAAAAATAATGTTAAACCCAATGACATGGTTTTCTTAAGGATAAAGATTTGCCCCCATACAAATGAAAACTTGGTCGAGTTGAAAGTCTTGTTAAAGATGCAGACAACGCTGTTAGAGTTGTGTACATCAGAACAGGTAATGGAGTAGTAAAACGAGAAATTACTCAAATTTGTTTGTTACCCATAAATGATAATTAGTCTTGTTATGATAATTATAAATCTGGTATATATCTTAAGAGACTTTTTCAATTTATGTAATATTTCTCTAATTGTTATTTTTGTAATATGTTATTTTTGTTTAATATGTTCATATGTCACCCTATTATATGTATTTTGAAATTTTCAAAATTTCAACGCGGGAGGCTGTTACGTAATGTATGTCGTAGCGCCACCACTATTAACTTGGTGCGCCCTCTAGCGGGGTGGATGGATCAATAGCATCTCTGTATCTGCTCGAGCTCCAGCAACTAGCGGAGTGTAACACTTCGTCCAATGCAAACTGTGCATTGATATTAAATTCTTATTTTAAACTTCAGTCCACTATTTCATAATCAAACCTCCGTAACAGGTCCAATTTCAAATGAACAGCACTAATTAACATTGTAATTTTGATGAAAAATATTTTAGTTTTTAAAAGGCTTCGTACCATCTAACATGAAATTAATTAATTAATCATCTTAATAAGGAGATTTGGTGTGTTTATTTAGTTGAATATGATAAAGCACATGAGGGCTGGTTGACAAAGGCATTGTTTCGTGGATAATTTTCTAGGAAAAATAGGTTCATATGTCAATTAAAATCGTAAAAACAATCTTGTATTTAGCGTAGGTATAATGAAACACTCAATCGATTTCGAGCGCAGCTAGAGGTCCCTCCTCATCAGGAGAAAGAAATACCTAGAAAGAAGAAAATAAAGGAGAAGGAGTCACAGAAACACGTGGTCCTTATCAGCACTGCGCGTGGTTATAACTAGATTTTTAATCAGAGTTGCACTGGCCGCCTACTTTTACTGAACCAGGCTATCTGATCAAGCATAAAGGACAAGAAAAAATTAGCGAAGTTAAAATAGGGAGCGAGGGGCAAATGCACCTTACGCTCAACATCTGAACTTCAAATAATGGAAAGCTCCAACTCCAACTTGCTTTATTTGCCGCGATTAACCTGCGAAATTGCAGGTTGTGTTCCGGCTATCGAACTTTGGTGCTTCTAGGAGCGCTGCAGGTAAGGAAATGCCGAACGTAGTTCTCGTGGAGACAGGATAGCAGATGCAGGGGGTGTGACCAATGTCACGTGATGAGCGATAGGACATCAAGCAACCACTGAACGAATTTTTATACCCTCTGGTAGTACCAAACGCGAGGAGGTAGCGCCATCTATCGGCAAAAATAACTGAATTAAGATAGTAGAATTTTAAAGGCGTAACTGGATTGGACCTATAAAATTCTACTATTTTAATTCAGTTATTTTTGCCGATAGATGGCGTTACCTCCTCGCGTTTGGTACTACCAGAGGGTATAAAAATCCGTTCAGTGGTTGCTTTCTATTATTTGAAGTTCAGATGTTGAGCGTAATGTGCATTTGCCCCTCGCTCCCTATTTTAACTTCGCTAATTTTTCTTGTCCTTTATGCTTGATCAGATAGCCTGGCTCAGTAAAAGTAGGCGGCCAGTGCAACTCTGATTAAAAATCTAGTTATAACCACGTGCAGTGCTGATAAGGACCACGTGTTTCTGTGACTCCTTCTCCTTTATTTTCTTCTTTCTAGGTATTTCTTTCTCCTGATGAGGAGGGACCTTTAGCTGCCCTCGAAATCGATTGAGTGTTTCATTATACCTACGCTAAATACAAGGTTGTTTTTACGATTTTGATTGACACATTAGCGTGTTTCTCTTCTAGTGTAGGTTCATATGTATTTACATTACACTTAAGGAAAAACACTAAAATGCTTACACAGTGGTAAGCTGTAGAGGAACTCTTGAGATTCCTTAAATTTACCTCTAAATTTGTTAAATTTGCCTCTAATTTCTAAGCCTCCTTTTTTTGTTTTGTTTGTTTGTTTGTTTGCAACTCACTTATGTTACTCAAATCACTTATGTTTGCACTCAGTGAAATAACTTCGCCTATTAGTCTGAACGACCCCGAGAATGAAAGAACAATATTTACGTTGTAGAGTCATTAGCTTGAAAAAAAAAAAACTTAAGACGTAAAAAAAATATGCAATGCCGTTTTCAGGATTCGAACACCGGAGCTGCTGAATACGCGTCGAGCGTGCTTCCAGTTACACCACCAAGGCATGCGGATAGAGAGGGAGAAAATATCTCTTACACTCCCCCTTTTAAAGGGCGAATAAGGATGAGGGAACCCAGTCGCCAAATCCTGGGGGTGACGAATTAGTGTCCACCACCTTTTGGTTCGAGCACCAATGTAGAGTCATTAGGTTTTCTTTAAGGCTGTAGACGTGAAAAATATGCAATGTCCTCACCGCTATTCGAACTCCGAAACCTCCTGTATGCGCGTCGACTGTGCTTCCAGTTACACCACGAAGACATTGGGAAAGGAGGGAGAAAATACCTTATACTGTGACAAGAAGAGCTTTCTGATTATACAACCTGTTTTAGATTTAGCGGCACTATCCTTAAATGGAAAATTTTAAGAAATTTAATCCTAAATCTTATGTAAAAAGAGTTTTTGAAAAATCATCGCTTTGCTTAGATCCTCCTACAAGATCAATTAAAGTGCAAGAAAAAGTATGTGGCAGCTTGTGCCGAAAACATTTATTGGCTATTTTATGAAATTTCTGCAATATTTTGTATTGCTTATAATTTTGTAAATTTAAATTTTATTAAAATTTTTTTAAGAAATTTTTTTATACACAACACAATTATTTGTATTTTCTGTTTTTCTAAGAAGTAAAATATTTAATTAGGTTTAGGTTAACTGATTAAACAACTCGAGGGCTTTCTGTTTATAAGAAGATATATTTTTGTAGAGGACTTTCTTAAAGAAAGTGGCTCTTATCTGTGCTAGCTACACATGTGGGAAACAAACCATGCAGCCAACTCATTCGCCGGAATTCGATCCCTGGTCGAACTACCAGCGTTCAGCAACTTTACCGATCATTTAATTAGACTCTGATATTTAGTTTTTTTTAATAGATAAATTACGAGCCCTTTGCTAAAATTTCCATAGCTCATTCCAGCTTACACATCCAGTCCATTCACTCGGGAATGAATTACGAAGCTGATCATTCCACTCATTGGTATAATTGACTTGAATACAGTGAGTCTCAATAAAGAGGAAAATTTTTTTCGTGAATCTAAAAGCGATGATAAATCTATTTATAAAAAATCATTTTAAAGTATCATTTTGACGACTGTTTGAAGCACATTTTAAAGGATTTATTAATTATGAATATATATATATGAGGGAATACTTATGGGCGGCAACTTTTCAACAGCAATCTGTGAATTATTCCTTTTCACACAAGAATTTACTTTTGTACGTTCACTAAATATTGAAGATAAAAAATATTACCAACACATCTTTCGGTATATAGATGATGTAACTGCCTTCAACAACTTCAACAAAATAGAAAAAGCTAATATCTACCCCTCTTGCCTACAACTTAATACTACAAATACTGTGCAAAATCATATAGTTTACCTTGATTTGCATATTCTAAAATTACAATTTTTTGAAAATCTACGATAAACGATCAACTTTCCTACACTTAAATTAACTAACTGGAATTCCAATATTTCAAAAAGAGTCATCATGAATACAGTTAACGCACAGCTGCTTAGAATTAAAAGAATCTGTAATATTACAAAGCACCTCCAAGAAGAAGTACTCTACTTTGTAACTATCTTGCAGAACAACCTAATTCCTACAAAAGTCATTAAAAATGCTTTAAAAAGTTGGCATTAACTTTTTCTTTTAGATTTTTTGAGTTAGATAATGAAATTTTTATGTTTAAGCCCTATGGGACGGTGTAAAGTAGATGGCTGATTCAGAGAATCTAATGTATAAATGTAAAATTACTTCCTCTCACAGCTTCATTTTTAATCTTAAAATTTGGCACAGTTCTTCTAAGTCTATTCCTAAATAGATTTTAAGCTTTTTCTGGCCATATCTATCCTGTTATTGATTTTATGGGCCATTTCATTTCTGGTAGCTTGAAAGCCCTCTAGCTTGAAGAATTATGACTTTAATTAACAATTTACTATTTTTCTAATTATTCTTACTTTTGTGGCCATATTTTAACATTTTGTAGGATTAGTCATTTTTTCTTTCGCCTACACCCAATTTCCTTAAAACTCGTCGAGCAAGACGCCATCTTGAAAAATCTCTTTCATCATGACGTCTCTTCCCATTTCACGTCATTCTGCCTAGTTGGTTGGCAACTTCCTTCCTCGAGGAGGCTTTCACTCCCCCTTTTGAGTTAGCATGGCTCCAGAAAGAAGACATCGAAGTTCCAGGTCTGTTTTAAAAAATATTTTTCTTTCATATGTTATGATTTTTGGTCCTAGCAAGTCCTTTTAATAAAAATAATTTTAATATTTTTCTAGTCTTCTTCGCATTGTATAATTTTAAAATTAAAATATTTTTTTAGCTACGTTAACAAAGTTTAAACTCTATAAGCTAGTAGGTCCTCCCTTAAAATCTTGTAATTTTGACTACTAGTAAATCGCTATTTATCGCTTAATGTGTTTTTTCAAGCGGACGCGTCGGGAAATGGAACAGGAAATTGAGGCTAAAACTTATGATTAAGTTTTTTCAATTAATATTCAAAAAGAGTTTCGTATTCAGTTTCAGTTTTCTGTTTCGGCGAAACGCGATATGGAATTAGCTGAATTCAAAAATCATTATAAAATTTCCCCTGAAGAGTTGGTAATGAGATTCGAATTGGGCCAATCTACCATTTACCGCTTTTTTGTTTTTGTATTTTTGTTTCAGTCTTACACACTACTTTTCATTGCACTTAATTTACTTATGTTAAAATTGTTACCGGAACCACAGTATCTAAGCTACTTTTTAGCGTAAGCACTAAGAATTTTCTTTTAACTTGTTTTCCAAATTTTGCAGCTTAATGCACAAAGTTGTTCACCTCAAAGGTCTTTTTTAGTTTGTTCTCTTTTCTTTAATTATA